GTTCCTTTTTTTTTCTTTTTCTTTCATCTAACTTCAGGTTGTGAACAAGAACAGCCTGGATCAATGTGTCAACATTAAATCATGCTTTATTTGTTTTTTACTTGCTGTTTTCTGTAGGTCATGTTTCATCCCAGTGTCCACGTATAGGAGGAATCATTGGAATCATTGTACTCTTAATCTTACTCTGTTTGATTGTCTTTGTTTGGTAAGTATCGTCTATCTAAGCAAAACACATGAGTCAGTTAGTTAATTTCATTTTTACCTTATAATAAACACTGTTCTTTCCATCACTGTTTTTTCCATCACACTTAACTTTGCTCAAACATATATTTAAACTAAAACAGAATATAGTTAATACAACTGTCTCTGACGTCTTCCAGGTGGTTGAAGTCAAAGCATCAAACTCAACAACAGACTCAGGTAAGAAAACTGAAATACAACACTACCTGTAGTGTTACCTGACTCTTCAGATACGTATTTATTGTAATATTTCTATCAGAGCAGTCTAACTATTTAACCCTTTTGTTGTCTTCACATTCTATATATAGCTGTTGCTCTCAGGGTCAGAATTGTCCCATTATCACCAAAGATCTAAAATAAAGCCATTTAATTTTAAATGCCAACACCATTTTGCATGAAAAAAACCTATATGTGAATATCAGAGTTTTCCTTTTTCACAGTGCAGAATGACTGCATTCATCCAGTTGCATCCACTCATTATTATCTTAAGAAAGCTGCCATATTATGTGTTGCTCTACAGCAACACATAACAAACATTTATGTCTGAATGGAACCAGCTGGCTGTTGGGTGTTACTTCAGTGCTAGGCTTGTAGAGTTAAGGTAGCCACTTCACTCAATTGTCCCAGACCTCTCTTACGGCAGGGCATTAATATATCTGGAATGTGTTTTCAATGCTTCGCTTGTCACACGTTTTGTCATGTTACAGCCTTATTCCTAAATGGATTGATCCATATCTGCCATCTCCAGAATGGCACGTTTGTTTTCTGATAGGTAGTGAGATTACCAGGTGAAATGTTTGGACAATTTACTCAAAAGGGGAAACTGCATATATTTTGGGTTGTAGAGTCATCTCTGTGACATTTAGTGGTGCCATGCTGCCCTAGTTGTCATATGATGGTGTGGATTATGTTATCTTGCCATTTTTTGTTATACCATTTGAATTTGAAAAACCAACATCTAAGGGGTTTTCTGTTGTTAAACACATTTTAATGCCGTTTTTGAAACAAGGAAAAAAAGGAAGGTTAATGTAAAATGTCTAAAAACATTAATAAGAATAGACCCAACTCACAGAATCATAGAACCTTCTGTTGTTTTATTTCAACAGATTCAAATAACTGAACATCGGGTTGATGAAGAGCCAGCAAGTAAAACAGAAGGAGAGGAAGAAAACATCCATTATGGAGAGATCAATTTCTCTACGCTCGGATACGAAGTGCCCTCTGACTCAGTGCGGGACAGAGGTGAGCAGCAGGATACGGTGTACGCACAGGTGAAAGTCAACAAGCCAGAAAACAGCTCAACACAGAGTGCTCATGGCCAAGAGGAACTTTTTCCTGAAGAAAAATTGAGAACTGTAGTGGAATAACAAGAAGAAGAAACTCGTCCAAATGACTGCAAGGAAACTCTGTTACTCTGATTTCTGGGTAACATTCTTTAGGTTCCACCATTTAATCCTCCCCTCTACCTTCCATCTTCTTGAGTTCCAAAGTCCTCCTACAGACTACCCAATGATGCTGCCTACCTACATTCTCCCCCGACACCACCTCACTGTCTCCTGTCTCTTTTCAGATTGCAACTTCTGTCCACCTGTGTACAACTTCCTCCACATTTATTCATCATCTTATGTTCCTCCTCCTTCCTGAAGTAGATGTCAACCACAGCTATTTCAGTCCTGTTCATAAAATCCACTATCTGTCCTTCTCTTCTTAAGATCATACCTACCCCAAATCTCTTCATAGCCCTTTTTAACTTTCTTTTTTAAGTTTTTGGAATTTCTTTTTCTACTGACATCCAACCTGTGGGGAATACACACTGACAACAGCAAGACATCACACCTTCGATTTCCATCTTCAAACTCATGATTCTGACATTTTCTTTGTTTTTACAACAGTATTCCAGCACTCTTCCTTCAGCATTACCCCCAGTCTGTTTCACTTATCTACATCATGGTAGAACAGCATGAATCCACCTCCAGTGCTCTTGACCTTGCTTCCACCTGGTGTCCTGAAAACACAGTATATCTGCCTTCATCATATAAGCCAACTCTCTCCCTTTACCAGTCGTTGTCCCTACATTTAGTCTCCACAGTCCTGCTCTAAACAGCCTTAAACACACTTTGAACAATGAATACAGCTAATCTGCATTCACAGAGTGTATGTGAATCTACCTTCTTTACACAAGGCAGAAACTTCATGACAATTAGATTCAATAGCAGCAGTGTGTTTTTTCTCATGGTTCAGCTGTGGGATTAACACGCTGTTGTTGAAAATATAATGGAAAAGTACTTAATACATACATGACCTGCACCACTTTGGGAGTTTTGTTGATTGCTTTCATAAAAGGCTGGATGAATTACCATAAATTCCAGGATTAAATTATTCTAATCCCTTTTCTTCAGCATTTTAGTCAGCATGCTGCATTAATAAAATAAATACTGCAGATTTACACCACCAGGTAAGTGTTTGGATAAAACACATTTGCAGTTTTTTGATACTTTTCATTAATCCTTTGATGTTAAATGCATCTCACTGTGTTGAATGAGTGTTTAGGATAATTATTTTGTATGTCTTGCTTTGTGGTCAGTGTTGGGGAGTAACGGAATACATGTACCGCCGTTACATATTTAAAATACAAAATATGAGTAACTGTATTCCGTTACAGTTACCGTTTAAAAAGGTGGTATTTAGAATACAGTTACTTTGTTGA